AATTCGCAGCACCATCAATCACTGACTGAACATAACAATGTTTCTTCTCAAGTTATTCCATTACTCTAATATTCCCAAAGCAAATCGACACATCGTCTCCGCAAACACCAGCCCATCATGCTCTCTCCCCACCCTCGCCATCGCATTCTCATACAACGCCTCTCCCAGCATTCCCCGCCTCAGCTTCAACAACTCCGACACCATAAATTCATTATACTCCGGATGTCCCTGAACACAAAGAATGCGCTTGGGGACATATAACCCCTGAATACCACAGATCAATGTAGCTCCCAGGTTGACACATCCCGGCGGAACCTCGTACACGATATCGCGATGCATCATATGTATAGCCTGCAACAATAAATATAATCATTAGCATACATCCTAGCCATGATTACCAAGTGAATAACCGGAAGGAAAAACATACTTACCAAAGTATCTCTCCCCAAAAGCTTTTTCCCAGCACTCGTCAAATCCACCGACTCAACAGCAACCTCCCACCCCGATACATTCGGACCGACGCGGGCTCCCAGCGCACGCGCAATAATCTGGTGGCCGAAGCAGATCCCAATCACGGGTTTATGGTGGATGAGATAGCAGTCTTGCACGAATCGAGTGAGGGTGAGGATCCAGGGCTCATCTTTGTAGGAGTCGTGTTCTGTAGACTGTTTAGCGGCATGCCTTATGCGAATTCTGGGAAGTGTTTGAAAGCACATACTACTGCCAGTTAAGAGGACGGCATCAAAGTCCTCTGGCCTGGGATAGTCCACAAATGGCTGGACCACATTGATCTTGGTCAATTGGAGAGAGACATTTGCGTTGATGCGCCTGAGACCTTCCTTGAGGTGGGATTCGAAGATGTCGCCGTAGGGACCATATTTGGTTTTGATGGGGTCGATAGGGGTATCGCACTCGAGAATGGCTATGCGGAGGGATTGTGACATGCTGTATAGTGAGTTGGTGATGTTGAACATAGTATGGATGTGAGAGTTACTTATTGGAAATGTGTTCACTACTAGTGCTGTGGCCTTCTGCTACTACTATCTGTTCCGCGTGGCATAACCGCGTTCAATTGCAATGAATGTAGTTCAACTCATCACAGCTTATGACCGCGGAATCCAATGGAACTGAAACTCTAATCACAACTTATTCTCTAAATATTCTCCAAAGTAAAGAAAGCGTCTGTATGCACAGAGTATATCCGAGGCAAGTATTCCGTACCTCACTTGTGACCCCTCACCCTCGCGATAAGATAAGCGCGGTCCCAGAAATCCCCGCAGCGCGCTCCGATCGGAACCGCGTCATCCCAACCAAACACAGGCCGTCTATACCAAGTCCAGTCCCCAAATTCGAGACCAATTGATTCCATGAGCTTCACATTACACTATAGAAATACGTTTCCGACCACCGGACCCGACGGCGCCGCAATACCGTCGCAATCAAGGCGATCAGCCAGCTCCTACGTAGACACTGACTAGACTAATTCCCCCAACCCAGCCCTCCAAGCGTACCTTTAAGTAGCAACCATTCCAAGAAATGCCCCCATTCTACGCTCCCTTACAATCACCCCCTCAATTCTAAATTTTGACGATATACACAATGGCTACGACAATCACAGCAGAGGACCTCCCCAACCTCCTCGACAATGACATCAAAGTCAAAGTCGCCGGCGTCGACTGCGACGGCATTCTCCGCGGCAAGGTCATGTCCAAGGAGAAGTTCCTAGGCATTGCGCAGAAGGGATTCGGCTTCAGCTCCGCCGTCTTCGGGTGGGACATGCAGGACATGCTCTACACCACCGAGGCGAACATTGCGCCAGCTGACTCGGGATACGTGGATTTTCTGGCCGTGCCGGATTTGAACTCCTTCCGTCGGATACCCTGGGAGGATGATATTCCTTTCTTCCTGGTGAGGTTCGTACAGAACGATAAGCCGGTTTCGGCGGATGGGCGGAGCATGTTGCGGTCGATTTGCGATAAGTTGGCGGCGAATAATTGCAAGGGAATGGCAGGAGGTTAGTCAATTCTCCAAGAAGAAATGACGCTGGAAGAGTAGCTGACGTATGCAGTCGAATTGGAGTTCATGAACTTCCAGACCCCCTCGGAAGACGGATACGGCGCCCATGGCTCCCAAACCCGCGACATCGCCGCCTTTCTCGATAAGAATGCCCCCGGTGCGCTGCGCCCTTTGACTGCAGGCAGCTTCTCCTATAGCGCGACGCGCCCAGTGGCATACAAGAAATACTTCTATGATATCTTTGATACCAGCGCGCGGTTCAACTGCGGCATTGAGGGATGGCATACTGAGGGTGGACCGGGCGTGTATGAAGCGGTGAGTTGAGTTGGCTTCAATTGAGTTGTGCGGACCGCGCTGAGCTAACCAAATCAGGCATTGAAAGTATGCGATGTTAGCGACATGGCCGACAAGGTGTCTCTATTCAAGTAAGCCCACAACATATGTAATTGCTCTGGGGTTCAAGCTAACGAACAGACTCCTCGCCAAATCCATCGGTGTCGAACATGGAATCACGCCCTGCTTCATGGCCAAGCCCATGCAAGGCCAGCCCGGCAGCTCGGGCCATATCCACGTCTCTCTCACCGATCTAGAGGGCAAGAACCTCTTCGCGCGCGACACTCCCGATCCCAATGCTCCCTGGGCCGACGCAGCTGGACTGTCCGACCTGGGCCGACAATTCCTCGCAGGCGTGCTGGAAGCGCTTCCGGACATCATGCCGCTATTCGCGCCCACCATTAACTCGTACAAGCGGCTGGTGGAGAACTTTTGGGCGCCGGTGAATATCAGCTGGGGATTGGAGGACCGCATGGCCTCGGTAAGAATTATCACGCCGCCCGTGTGTAAGCCAGGAGCGACTCGCTTCGAGGTGCGGATCCCGGGTGCGGATCTGCACCCGCATTATGCGCTGAGTGTGATTCTGGCGGCGGGATGGAGGGGCGTGGAGAAGAAGTTGGATATTAAGGTGCCGCCGGTCAATGTGCAGAAGGCGGAGAAGATCAAGGCGGAGTTGCTGCCGAATACGTTGGAGGAGGCGCTGAGGAGATTCAATGACAAGGAGAGTGTTGCGAGGGAGATTCTCGACCCGGAGTTTGTGGACTTTTTCACGGCGACGAGAGAGCACGAGTTGAGGGTGTGGAGAGAGGCGGTTACGGATTGGTAAGTCCTTCGCTTCTTACTTTCATTGACTGATTGCTGACCATTCTATAGGGAGTTTAAGCGTTATATCGAGACTGTATAGATACCTTTGTATAGATCAATTTCATTATTTACCTGTTAATTTGTCCTGGCAGCAGAGTAGTCCTTAGTAAGCGGAGCTAACTAGTTAGTTAACTATTAGTCAATGCGATTCTATCGGCAGTTGATAAGATGGCCCCACATCCCTCCACATCTCCAGCCAAAACTATATAAGAATCAGGGACAGCCCACATCTAGCTACTTGAACCCTCAATTGCGCCCAATTCCCGAATATACAACCACAGAGTGTACTACAGAAATGGACTTCTCCCTCCAATCCCACACATCCTTCATCGGCCGGCCAGTCCGCGACCTCCCAACCCCATCTCTAGTCCTCAGCAAACCCGTACTGGAGAGAAACATCCACCGCTTACAACAAGATGTACAAGAGCTGGGTCTGTCATTCCGTCCCCATGTAAAGACATTAAAAGTATCCAACCCTCCACTCTGTACATAGCGAAGTCATGAAATAATATGACCCAAACAGACCCTCGAAATAACCCGCCTCATGCTCTCCAACGGCCTCCACCGCGGCCTCATCGTCTCCACCCTCAGCGAACTCCGCGGCGTGCTCCCCTTAGCAGAAGAGGGCATTCTCAACGAGGTATACCCTACCCCCAATCCCCAATCCCCATCCCCAACCCACAGTCTAACCCCAACATGAAATAAAACAAAGGCCCTCTACGGCCTCCCAATCTACCCCTCCGCCCTACCCCACCTCCACTCCATACGCAAATCCCACCCGAATCTCAACATCCTCCTACTAATCGACTCACCCCAACACATCCCCATCATCGAATCATTCAACAACTCCATCTCAGATGGTACCCCTCCCTGGTCGGTCTTCATCAAGCTAGATGTCGGATCGCGCCGCGCAGGCGTAGACGTGTACTCCCCTGACTCCGGGCCCGAACTGGAAGAGCTAGTGCACGCTGTGGAGCAGAGTAGCGCGGTGGAATTGTACGGGTTCTACTGCCACGCGGGACATTCGTATTCTGCGAAGGGGGAAGAAGAGGCGGGGAGGGCATTGGGGAGTGAAGTTTCGGGTGTGTTGCGGGGTGTTAAGCTGATTAGAAACCGTGGTGGTGATGGGAAGAAGAGGAGGGTTGTGCTTTCGATTGGATCAACGCCTACAGCGCATGTTGTTCGTCAGGTTAAGCAGTTCCTAACCAAGGAGGGGAATGTAAATGATGATGCGGATGTTGATGTGGAGGTTCATGCTGGTATGTACTTCCCCGTTTATAACCCCCTCATAGAGCCGTAATGCCTTGGATAATGCGAAGCTAATAATTCCGGTATAGGAAACTACCCAACAAACGACCTCCAACAACTCAGCACCGATCTAATCACCCCCGCAGATCTGGCCGTCCGCGTACTGGCCGAAGTATGCAGCGTGTATCCGCGTCGCAACGAGGCGCTGATTAATGCCGGGACGGTGGCGCTGTCGAAGGAGACGAGCGCGGTGCCGGGGTTTGGGAGGGTAGTTGAGAGGCCTGAGTGGGGGGTGGTGAGGATGTCGCAGGAGCATGGGATTTTGGGGTTGTTGTCTAGAGGAGCGGGGGATGGGGAAGGGAAAGTGGAGGATGTGTTTCAAGTCGGACAGAAGGTCATGCTGCATTGTCAGCATGCGTGTATTACGGCCGCGCAGCATTTCGTGTATTATGTTGTGGATGAGGAGGATGTGGTTAGGGAGACGTGGGTTCCTTGGAAGGGGTGGTAGGATGCCCTAACTATGTAGTAGTTGTAGTGATATGAGATTGATTGAAATTGGCAAAGAGGTGAAATCCAAATGCAAGCTAGATACACAAAACACTCAAACATACTATGCAGGGTATACACGCTCATTCATCGCTTTTCGTGTCCTCCACCGTAGCAGCAGCCGGATTAACCGGCTTCTCCTCCTCGCCATTCTTCTCTGCGTCTTTCTCCTTCTCATCCGCCTCCGCTCCATGATTCTCCAGTGCACCCTCTCCATTGCCATTCTGCTCCCTCTGCACCGTCTTCCCCTTACTCTCTCCGGCGGGCTTACTCTCCACCTTCTCTGTATCACTCTTCGCCATCTCCGTCCCTGACTCCTCGACCGGCTTGTCCTTCCCGCGCTTAGCCTTCGCCCGGCGGATCAACCGATTATGGTAGTCCCGGCCTTCTGCCTCGGGATCTTCCTCCACGATGCGTCTGGCAGCCTCGCGTCCAACAACTGGTAATCTGTCCACGCCCTGTGGTGCCCCGTCCGGGATGAACTTCGGGTCCAGGAGTCCGACTTGCACCAACACGCTGGCTTGGTCCCAGTACATGTGTTCCGAGTACAGTCTACCCGCGCGCAGACTGACGATGCTAACTAGCACAATCTCGACCCGGCGATTCGTCGGCGGAACACCCGGCAGCATCCAGGGTATTTCCTGAGTATGTTCAAACGAGGCATACAGCTCATCAACAATACGATCCGCCCCCACAGTCCGAGAGATCAACCGCAGACGCATCGACGGAGGCAACTTGCGCAGAAAGTGCTGTTCATAGAAGCGACGCAGCGCATGTGTCCCGATACCACCGCTCATGGTTGGTGTGCAAGTAAGTGTCGGGTTGAGATGACCGACGTACGGCTCCATAGTTCCAGTAAGGTTCATGGAGAAGAAGCGCGCTGTACCAATTAGCCCTCCACCCCAAATAGCCACCAAGTATAAAGGTGTGAACTCACCCTCAAGCTGCTCCTCCCACCTATTCTCCAAATCCAAATCCTTCCCAAACGCCTTCCTCAGCACCTGCAACGTCCGACTAAACGCCAAATCCGACGCCAACCGATCAAACTCCTCCAGATCATGCTCCGCGAATCCCGGCTGCGCCGACTCATACGTAAACGCCGGCCAGCCGATCTGCAATCTCTCTCCCGTCCCGATACCAGGGTTGATCTGCTTCGTCGAGCGATGTCTCTTCCCTTGCAACCCAATAACCGTCGGAATAGTCACCACGTCCACCGTATTTCCAGCAAGATGCGTCAACACGCGCACCGAGAACGGGAATCGCGATCGCGTATCAGGGATCGTAGTGGGATAGTATGCGATGAGGGCCGCAAGACGACTGCAGTTTGTCGATTTGAGGTAGTAGTCGAGACAGTAGGAGGCGGCGTCGCCGAATGCTATACACCACAAACCCCAACAGTTAACCCTACTCCTATCCCACTCAAATGACATATAGGAGAGTAGTATAAAGTAGGATACTCACCAATAACAGCATAATTATCCCCCACGCCCAACCCATCCTTAACTGACTTCAACCGCGCCTCATACTCCTTCCCCCCATTATTATACGGCGCATAGACAACATCAAACCCCTCGTCGGCCCAGGCGCGCAGCGTCTCGGTATCAAAGTCGGGGGTTTCGGCGGAGACGCAGACGCGGGCGGTGCCCAGGTTGGCGTTGTTGTAGATGAAGCCGGTTGCGCCGGGAGCGTTGATGGATATGGAGGCCATAATAGAAGACTCTGCTGCTTCAGCAACTACTATGTATGTATATATTAAGGATTAAAAATGTACACATAGAAGGAAAGAGGATGAAGCAAGCGCGAGCGTAAGTAAGTAGTAAGTAGAATGTGTATGGTATGGTTGTTGGTGTGGAGCGCGGGCCGCCGGATGGCTACGTCATGATGACGACGCCGGCAGGGCAGGAACGGAGCAGGTATTTGGACAGTTACTGATGGTTATACTTGGGTATATTCTGATGATTAGGATTGGGTTATTATTGGTATTGTGACTACATGTTACTTTTGTATCCCATCTGATCAATAGGATGATGGTGACATCTGACGTGGATTCATCTGATCAGGCGGATGTCTCTGCCGCTTGCCAAGAGTGGAGAGATGGTGTAGATTCTTGAGATTCTGGACAGAGGACTGCATATATTTCCTTTCGGAAGATAAACAGACAGAATTGAAGTAAGAGAAAAGTTATTAGAAAGATGAAGGATAGTACTGGAAGATACTTCGATGCTATAGTTACTCTGTTCCCTATGAAGCATAGATGTCATCCTACATGCCATAGAGGCAGAAGTATACGGATGGATCCAAACCTTAATCGAACCATGCTTCCCCATCGTATGATCCTCTAATCTGTCTGTGGAGCCGTACTTCGTGCTTCTCATTACAATAGACTACTAATTAATATCATACCCGTTATGAACACAATTTACCCTTGTAAAGCCACGGTAAGCTTCATCAAAGGACAAGCATGCGCCATGTACACCATGCACCATACTCCCACTGTATCCATCTCGTAACATATACGAAATAAACATATTGACAACCCCCAATCAATCTTCGTAGTCTTCTTCATCGCTCTCCTCCCGAATCAACCGCTGTCGTTCCTCATCCTCCTCCAGTTCCTGCTCCCGTGCCCGTAGTCGCCGCCCGGCCACGTACACAAACGATACCAGCGCGGTTCCTACCACAAAGCCAGCGATGGCAAAGAAGATGTTGATTGGAATGGGATTTCCATCAAAGGGTCCATGAGTCAACGCATCGAGTCCATACTGGGCAAAGTTGACCATTCCCGACACGCAGATGATGGTCCCATAGACTCTGCCAAAGGTGGCAAATCCGAACACCTTTGTCGCGTAGTCACTATTTACAACAGTAAGCAGTAGCTCCATAGAATAGTGGATGGGTGCACTTACGACATGGCCGAGTAATAGAGTGGTCGCAGCAAAACGAACAATATGACGGTCACGTATCCCGTCCACAGAACAGGTATGGAGTTCAGGATGCCAATCACCGTCGTCAGAACCACAATGATAGCCAGTACAGCAGGTACACTGATGTGGTCAAGGAGGAGCCCCACGAAGGGCGTGGAAATGATCCCGCCAACCGGCAAGGCAACATCGAAGAAGCTGTTGATCTGAACAGCGAGTTCATCCGAGTCGAGCATATACGCGTACTGAGCGCGGATGGTGGCAATGAAATAGTTCATCCGCAGCATCTGCAAGACCGTCATCAAGGTAATCAAAATGAACCACGGTGTGGCCATCTGTTTATGAGCAGGCTGGCCGTGGAGCGCCCCCCAGACGGCACTTGCAGCCTGGCGATCCTCTTCTCGTTGCTCCCGTTCTTTCCGCTCCCCCTTGTCTCCCAGCACCTTGGCAATCTTGCGCATCTTGTTTCGGCGTCGCTCAGCGCGCTCACTCCGGACACGTCGCAGCTCCGTGTCGCTCTCGATATCGTCGTCTGAGTCATGGATATCGTGAGTAGCGTCTTCTGCTTTTTCGATTTTCACTTCGAGTTCATGCGTACCCTGGTAGTCATGGGACGGCATGAGCGTAATCAAGGCAACGAGAATAAAACCAGGCACTACGGTATAGCTTAGGAAGAACTTCCCAGGATCAAAGGATCCATTGGTCATCTCGTAGACCAGACGATAGAAGAGGTACACCGCTGCAGACGCATCGAAGGCGCCAGTGACAAGAGCGACGATCGTACCTGCATACTTGGGAAACGCGTTTGCGATCTGAAAAGAAGGCACAAAGATGAATGTACCTCCCAGTGCGAGGAAGAAATTCCCCACCATGTAGCCATCGAACTGTGGCTGGGAGAAGGAGTATGCCATCAGCGAGCTACCAAGCGCAAGTAGCAGGCAGCCGGCAAAGCCACAGATACGTGATCCATAACGATCGAGGATAGTGCCGACCGGAAGGGCAGACACATTGGCTGTGATGGAGCCGATGGTGAAAAATAGGTTCAACCTGCAAAAGTCAATACTAGCTCAGCTAGACCAGTCTTGAGGACCCACCTTAGATCCTGTTCGGAGCAAACTTCCACCCCGTCGCGTAATTCGTCCTCGGTACACAGATCTCGATAGACACCTTCTGCGACCAGAACCGGCTTCAAGGCAGCGAATCCGAAGACCACGCCAGCCGCGAACCAACACGCAAGTATTGTAACGATAACCTGGGCTAGAACGAGTCAGAATAATACTGTTTATTTACATTATCTCAATTGACTTACCCAGTCGCTTTGCGGTCGAAACCTTATAGGCAGGAGTTCCAGCTACCTCGACCGGAGCAGGTGGAGGCTGGAGGACGTCGTAGCTGATCTTGCGATGGATCGGAGCGAAAGGCTCACCCGTCACCGCGGTCGCAATGGTGCTATCATCCTGATGTTCAGGTTCCCGATCTACACCTTCGATGACAGAAACGTGCTGCACCAAAGACATTGATACGTCTGTGATTTAGTGTTGTCGCGACAAACACGGGAGGAAGATTCCGTGGGTGGTTGTGGATGAGGTTAAGTAAGTGGTAGCCCGGGCGCCAGTCGAAACTTCTGGATGTTGCAACCCCCTTCGCCACATCCCTTACCCATGCGGGGATAGCAAAAACCGGGTTTTGGGCACAAGAATGCAAAATAGTGGGTCTTCTTCCTTATCGTCTGCTTTCATGCGGTGAAAGAGATGCCTGACAGTAAACTCAATGGGGATGTTGATGGATGGGAAGGACTGGGGGTGACACCTGCCTTGACCGTGCTGGTCGGCCGCTTTCTCCACCAGCTTATCTTACTCCACTTTTGCACAACTCTGCAAGATTCCGTGCACCAGGATCTCCAGATGTCTTTGTGAAACACACTTCTGTCTGTCAATCGTCGATTCAAAATATCGCTGAGTCATGAGAAGGATCTCGACTCCACAATTACATCGGTCGGCAGCTAGGGATATCTCATCTGCACTTAGCAAAGCACCTAGTCAACTGTCATCATAGAGCGCAAACCAACCATTCAAGAGCTAAAGGCAGTGGCCCTAGCCTGTCATCCTACTCATTGGCTTATCTCAATTTAGACTCGCGGTATGGCGACATCGTGGCTTGACGAACCCTTCTAAACCGACCTATAACAGTGTAACCAGACTTCTAAATATATCGCTCGAGTGATCGTGCCCCTTATCGATCGCCAGAGAGAAACGTACATGATTCGTGCTCCGATTCATATACTACCAAGAATCCCGATGTATAATAAATCTTGAAAATGTGATCTCTCCGCCCGCAAGAAGTTTAACGACCCTGCATGGGTTGCATGTTATTTCCCACAAACAGGTTCCATCGACGAACCCACGGGACCAAACATTCATAGCATGCTGTCCATATGTTGGTATAATCTACTACCTAAGAAGAACTAATAATCAAGGGTAGATGCATTCACGTCCTCCGGAGTCTAATTGCGACACGCTAAGTCAATGCGAGTACCAAAATAGGATGGAGATAGCGAACCGGACTAGTTGAAGGAAGTTCAGGCCTCTCCGTGTCTCCTTGTCACTAGAGATGCTCCCGCAGGTGCTGTATCTTAGTTATATCTTTAGTATATCCAAAGGTATACTAAACATGGCAGTACACTTCGCGGTTCTCCATTTGCTAAGTGGAGGCACTACTGCAAATGCTCGCGAGGTGAATCAAGTGAGCATCTACTGATTGACAACATATATCCTTCTAGTAGCACGGAAGAAAGAAGCATGACACCGACTCCGCTCTTATCCTCGGTCCATATCCCTAATTTCACTGCAAGATTATAGTGGGACACGCGTGTGACTATGATATCACTACAGCCCCCCGGGCCTCAAGATATCAAACCATGACCCGGACAGCCAGATGATGGTCTCATCGAGCCGACGCCAGGAAATCGCTCTATATGGGTGTGTGAAGCACCGACTCGAAATGGCGTAATTTAATCTGTATGTGATAACAGGTGCATACAGCAGGCAGATCGATAGCACATCGCCTATTTCTCCTACTGGTGACAGGCCAGATAACGTCCTGTGTCATTCCCTTCAACCTGATCAGGCAGCACCGCTAGCAGGGGGAGTTGATTGGATCTTACCTGGGTCCCGGTGCAAGGTACTTTGTTGTCTGGTGCTCGGTGCTCGGTGCTCGCAGCCTTGCTTACCACTTTGGCACAGATAGCGGGGTAGATAGGACTGTCACAGAAGAAGGGCAACCACGAAGGCCACTCACTCTTGCACTACGAATAGCCCTTCTAGATGACAGGAATATTACTGGCCTGTTCGCTTTGATCAAACTTGAGGTGAGTATATATTCACCCTTAATCGTTTCAAGCCAGTCAACTACTAAGGACACCGCAGGAGAACAGTGCCTGAAACAATATGAGCGACCCGCGATCCAACCAAAGCAAAAAAGATACGGAAGAGTACGTTGGTGAGGCTACTGTGGGAATTCGAGCAGACGTCAAGTCTATCAAGCAAATGACATCTTCTTCCGAAGCTGCCAAAGCCCGCAGAATGGCGTCCGCGGTCGCAGCTCTTGACAAAGCTGCGCAGGTGGCAATGGAAGATCCCAGCGGAAGCAGGAACCAGAATACCAGCTGACTTCTGGATATCACGAGATTGCCATGTAAATGCACACACTTACGAAAATCATCGCTCGACGCTCTCTCATCAGCGGCCTTATTTCACGTCAATTTATTACTAATGTTATTCTCTATGGTTTGCAGCCCTCTCGCCACCCACAACCTTCAGTCTTCGACCTCAAATGCCTCCCGGAGCTGCATATCGTATTTCTCCTTGTCTTTC